TCTGGTGAAGCCTCTCACCGCCCCTGAGCCTCTGGCCTGTACCCCAGTTCTGTATGCACAAATAAATAAATAAATCTTTAAAAAAAAAAAGTCATAAATAAGTAGCTCTACGGCAATTAATGGCACTATTTTATATGGAGAATTGATCCACATTGCTCTATTCAGAGTCCCTCATTTTGCTTCTTGTTTTATTGGTTTTACAGATACTTTATAATGCAGTCCTGCTGGGCTTTTGACTCAAGGAAACGGCCATCCTTCCCTCATCTGACTTCATTTTTAGGGTGTCAGCTGGCAGATGCAGAAGAAGCGGTATGTAGCAGCATGGTATTTCTAAAACATCAGAAAATAGATGACTAAATTAAATGTAATCCCTGACCTCAAGGCCACTGACCTTTCCTAATTCATGATGAAGCTTTAGTATGGAATAATAACACAATTCATTTATGTAAGATGGTTGGATGAAATCAGCATTGCTCTGAAGTCATGAGTCAAATATCAGCTCTCCCTCCTAATAACTGTTTAAATTATGGCAAAGCACTTTAATTCTCAGGGCCTGTTTTCTCATCTGTAAATGGATTGCTGAACTAGAGGATCCTTGAACTTGAAATCCCTTTGATTTCTCCTCCCCTCATAACACCACCTGGCATTATGAAGGTCCACTCCTGAATGAAATAAACGAAGGATGGAACCCTGAACTCCCAATACCTGATCTTGAATCTTGTCTCCACCTTTTCCTTGTTATATGACATAAGCAAGTCCCCTAAGTTTCTGAGGAGGGCAGGTCTCAGTTTCCTTTTCTGAAGTAAGGGATTGACAAACCCTGTTTCACACCGTCCTAAAGTGTAAATGAGATGATAGGTGAGAAAGACCTGGGCAATGAGTAGTTACTTGATACATGTTAAATATGAATCTGATTCTATAAAGGAATTATCTGATCTCCTTTCTAAATTAGTTGAAGTCCATTTTCAATTCTGCATTCTCTCCAGAGACATGTAGATGATGTGTCTTCTCCTTTTGTTACTTTTTTTTTTT